AAGCGTGGCAACAATTGTGAAGTTAGCCCAGGACCAACCAGGCAGTGTTTCGTTCTGTTCGCTGATGAGTTGGTACCCACTCGATGGCACCTAACAACAACAACAACATGAGTTGGAATCGACTCCATGGCACACAATCACCACCACTGCATGTCCAACACACAGATTCAGATCCCCTGATAGCCTGATTACAGAGCTGTCATTCACCCCATTTCATAGATGAGGAAACTGAGGCTCAGAGAAGGGCTGGGCCTTGCCTCTGGCCACACAGCTCAGAGGTGAAGAGCCTGGACAGAGCCCAGTTCTGTTTGGAGACCCGGGAGCAGAAACTGCCCATGTTTTCAGGAGCGCTGAGGATGAAGATTTGCTGCTCACAGATACCCTTCCCCTGTCAGAGAGGCACAGGGAGGTGACTCCAGGAGCCAGGAAGGGGGCCAGGGGAGGTTGGAGTCCTCTCACAGGGAGCCCAGAGACAGATTCCAGGGTAAGGGAGGACAGTCAGGTAGGTGGGTGCCATGGGAGGAGACATGGGTCTTGGCCCCCAGCCTTCTCAACCACCCAGTTCTAGAAGGACCACACGTCATCCTTGTGCTAGCTCTGAGTAGCTTCCTGAACCATCCTTGACCTTCCCAAAGCTCAAGTCCAGAAGGGCCTTTCCTGCTTCCAGTCCTTCGGCAGCCCCCACTCTCCTGAGGCCAAGCATTCAATGTCCCTTCCTGAACTCACTTTCTCCAGCTTGCCTCGGCCCCTGTGATATGTACTGAGAGCCAAGCTCACAACGGGTCTCCTCTGTCCTCCTGTCTTCCCCTCAGGCTACCCTTTCTCTGCCTGTTTACTTTACTCCCCATATCTGACCTAGACATCAGGATCCAGGGGAGTTGGCACCCCATCTCCAGGGAGCCCTCGGACTATGTCTGCTCACTGGTCACTCATCAGGACTCTGGTAATTTGACCCCGAAGGGCCCTGTCCACTTCCTCCCCATTACCGGGAAGCCCAGCCTGAAAGAGTGATGAGCTATCCACTGTGAGGACCCCCACTCCCTGGCCTTGTCTGGTCATGTACTTCCAGGAAGTCTCCCTCTGTCTCAAATGTCAACATTGGTCCTGGAGACTGAGACCCAGCTGGGTTAGGACCAGGACTGAGGACGCCACCTGAAAACTTCAGTCATTGGCAAATCCCACGCAGACCACTCCATCTAAGACCAAGATAGGCAGTCCTGGAGGAGGCAGGAAGTGGCAGCTAGAGCAACAAAACGAGGCTGTCTCAGCTGCCACCCTTGCTTTCCCAGCCACAGCTTTCACCCCTTCTTCCTAACCCGTCTTTCCTGCAGCAGCTCCTTCAGTGCCCACTCCAACGTCCCCACCCACCCTGGGGCTGGACCCCATCCTTCAAAGCACAAAACTAGCCTCTGTGAGCAGGGTACTGCCTGTGCACTGGCCACTACCCCTGGGAAGGCCCGTGTCCCCTTCTGACCTACCACCTGCCCTCACCTAACCCCCCACCATCACCTAAGCCCAGCCTCCTTCTTGGGCCCCGGCTCCCATGTCAAAGAGGTCAGAGGTTTTTGCCAGAACAGAACCCTCCCTTGAAGCCTGCTGTGAACATTAGAAGTCTTCTCCTGAAAGTCATGAGTAACAAGC